AAATCAAAAAATTAGCCAGGCATGGTGGCGTGTACCTGTAGTTCCAGCTACTTGGAAGGCTGAGGCGGAAGGATCGCTTGAGCCCAGTAGGGGCTCTGCTGAAGTATGCCACTGCCCTCCAGCCTGGGTGACAGAGTGAGACTCCAACTAAAATAAATAAATAAATAAGCATGCACTCACACAAGTAACCCAGGTGTCTGTTTTATACTGTTCCTACAACCAGAAAATTAAAATGTCAGGGTTGTTTTCTATCTACTCTTTTAATCTTCACACGGATGAAGTATGTACACCTCTTTTCAGTCTGATTAGTTTTCTTCCCAGCATTGGGCCTGTGGCCCAATAAAAACTGGAGAAACATACATTCGAAATGCAACTCCAAGGGTTAAATGGACTCAACTCATTGACTTATGAATCCATTAACTCGCTGGTCCTTTCCTTCATTGCTTTATAGGCTACGGACTGCTACCCTTTGATGTGCCCTCACTTTCATGACTCGTGTTTGTCCAACACCTTTGAACACAGGCACAGGATTCTCAAGACCTATAAACCTGCTTCCCTTCTATTAAGCTATTGCAATTATAGCTATCAGATTGTGAGCGTCTACCAGATGCCAGGCTCTTTACTTGTTACATTTCAGTACCCCCCAAATACCTGTAAGACATATGATACGATCTTGGTATCACATAGAAGTAACAAAAAGGGAGCTGGGACTTATCTTTGGTGTACTGGGTATACTGGGACCCAAAATGTAACTGTCCTGATGGCAAATCTGGAACTTCTAGGTCAATTTTTGAAAAGATGTACCTGGGCCGGGCGTGGTGGCTCACGCCTATAATCCCAGCACTTTGGGAGGCTGAGATGAGAGGACTGTCTGAGCCCACGGGTTTGAGACCAGCCTGGGCAACTTGGCGGGACCTCATCTCTACAATAAATCAAACTAGCTGGTCGTGGTGGCGCATGCCTGTAGTTCCAGCTACTTAGAAGGCTGAAACAGAAGGATCGCTTGACCCCAGCAGGTCAAGGCTGCAGTGGCTGTGAGCGTGCCACTGCACTCCAGCCTGGGTGACAGGGGAGTGAGACTCCAATTCAAAAAAAAAAGGAAAAGAAAAAAAGGAAAGATGTACCAGATAAAACTCTTTACTGGAAAGCAAAAGCCAGGTCTCCTGGCTCAGTTCACACACAAGCTTACACACAACCTCTACCCCTTTCTGCGTGGTTCCTGGTCCCTGGAGCCAAGAAACAGCAGAGCTGTCTCTGAAGACTGCAGCTTTCTCAAAGACACTTGCCAGGAGACCGCTGTGCTGAGTGCTGGTGCAGAGCCCAGTAGGAGGTCACTGCAGTTTGCTTCTGTGAGCTTCTCTCCGGCCTCATGCCAATGCATCTTGCAAATTTCCAGGGTGGTGAATTGATCGGGAAAATTGTGTTGGCTCAGCCAGGCACAGTGACTCACGTCTGTAAGCCCAGCACTTTGGGAGGTGGAGGTGAGAGGATTACCTGAGTACAGAGGTTTGAGACCAGCCTGAGCAACATGGTGAGACCTCATCTCTACAAAAAAAAAAAAAATCAGGCATGGTGGCACATGTTTATAGTTCCAGCTGCTTGGAAGGCTGAGGGGGAAGGATCACCTGAACCCAGCAGGTTGAGGCTGCAGTGGCCATGAGCATGCCCCTGCACTCCAGCCTGGGCAACAGAGTGAAACTTCGACTCAAAAAAAAAAAAATTGTATTGGTTCAGGACTTTTCAGCCAATGAGGTTACTCCTATGGGAGCTTAAAACTTTCAAAGTGCTCTAATCCCAAAGGAACAATTAACTACTCCTCTAGATGATTAGAAACGAGAGAGCTGTGTCTGGAAGGAGAGGGCTACCCTTACCTTTGTTCAACAGGCAGTGCTCATCTGCTGACAATGGCTTCAAACTATTGCCAGCAAGAAAGGAAGTATAGCCAGACTCGGTGGCTCAGCCTGTAATCCCGCGCCTTTGGAAGGCTGAGGTGAGTGGATTGCCTGAGCCCGCGGGTTTGAGACCCGCCTGGGCAACTTGGCGAGACCTCATCTCTACAATAAATCAAAAAATCAGCCGGGCGTCGTAGTATATGCCTGTAATTCTGGCTACTCGGAAGACTGAGGCGGAAGGATCACCAGAGCCCAGCAGGCGAGGCTGCGGTGGCTGGGAGCAGCCACTGCACTCCAATCTGGGTGACATAGTGAGACTCCAACTCAAAAAAAAAAAATTAAGAAAGGAAGTATCCAAGCCAAATGTCTGAATAATATAAGTACAACTACAAAAGAAACAGTAACAACTCTAATAATAAATCCCGTATATTGAAGCCTGTGTGTTCAGTACCATACTGATGGTTTTACATATCACACATTCAGTTCTCACAATGCTCCTGCAGGGTAAATTATTTGTTTTGCAGAGAGCGAAATTGAGGCACGCAGACTGCTAAGTTAAATTGTTTTCCCAGGGTCACCCAGCTAGTCATTGACAAAGCAGGGGTTTACATCCAGGTCCAACCAACTGAAAACCCAGACGCCTTTTGATAGAAACACAATATAAAGCAGTTTTCAGCACTTCCTTGACTGCAGGTCTCTGTATTCTTCCAGGGTCCCAGATTAAAGTCTTGTTAGTCTTGTTTCGACTTCTCCATGGGGAGTGCAGGACATATTCTCACACTGATTTCTCTTCTTTTTTTTTTCTTGAGTTGAAGTCTCACTCTGTCACCCAGGCTGGAGGGCAGTGGCACACTCACAGCCACCACAAGCCTCAACCTGCTGGGCTCAGGTGATCCTTCCACCTCAACCTTCCAAGTAGCTAGAACTACCGGTGTGCACCACCATGCCCTGCTAATTTTTGATTTATTGTAGAGACGAGGTCTCGCCAAGTTGCCCAGGCTAGTCTCCAACCCATGGGCTCAGGCAATCTTCCCACCTTGGCCTCCCAAAGTGCTGGGATTATAGGCATGAGCCACCACGCCCGGCCCTGGTTTCTTTCATCTCAGTTGGTTTCCTTCTTACCTCTGAAATGACACTCATTTATATGACTAATTTCTGCCCAGACTATTCTACTTTTTAATCCTCTTTATCAAGGGATCTATTTCTCAATTCCTAAAAGAACAAAATAGGATAGGCTTCTATTCATGGCCATCTTTGTGCATCGAGTGCTTTCCATGACTTAGAATACACCCCAATAAAATAGGGAGAGGAGATTAGTGTCAAGAGCTAAGGTCCCTTTCAGGTCGATTCCAGAATCCCCCCAAAGGTTCGTAACGTGTCTTGAGCCAAACTGGAAAGGAGAACGTGATGGCTTGTGAGTCTCCAGTCTAGTCCCAGAGGGTGCACACTGCTCTAGGTGTGAAGGCTCACACGGACGGGATCGAGGGTGCTAGGCTCTGAGCAGCTGTTACCTGCAAAACTCACATGGCAGCTGAACCCCAGCGTAACAGCATTAAGAGGCAGGGCCTTTGGGAGGCCCTTGGCCATGGGCTCTTGGCTTACTCTTCGATGGAGCCTCTTCGCCAGGGAGCAGAAGGGACGGGAGCAGATGGCCTAGGCCAAGCCAGGCCTGGTGCCTCCTTCTCCGTATCGCGGTGTAGACCTCACTCATCCTCCACCGCTGACGTGCTTTATTTCCTTATCTTTCGCTTGCAAGTGGCTTTGTGTTTGTTGTGACATACTACTCACAAAGCATCTTAGGACCCGAGCACCCAGATTTCAAGAGCCAGGCTACCCTCCCCAACGAAAAATGTGCAACGCAAATAGCATGACAACTGTACAAATCCGGAAGTGTGCTACTAGCGTGCTGAAAATGAGCTTTCCTCATCTCCCTACCTGCAATTCCTTTACCCCTACCCTCCTAAAAACTAAAAAACCACTGACTCAAAATGGTCACAAATCAGATGTGGCACTTAAAAGTCATTTTTTATCATGAAACATTTTAAGCACCCTTTTTTAAAATTTATTTTTATTTATTTATTTATTTATTTATTTTTTGAGTTGGAGTCTCACTCTGTCGCCCAGGAGCGGCCACCGCAGCCTCGACCCACTGGGCTCCGGCGATCCTTCCGCCTCAACCTTCCAAGTAGCCGGAATTACAGGCACGCGCTACCATGCCTGGCTGATTTTTGATTTATTGTAGAGATGAGGTCTCGCTGCCCAGGCGGTTCTCGAACCCGCGGGCTCAGGCCATCCACTCACTTCAGCCTCCCAAAGGCGCGGGATGACGGGCTGAGCCACCGAGCCCGGCCCTTTTTTTTTTTTTTTTTTTGAGTTGGAGTCTCACTCTGTCACCCAGACTGAAGTGCAGCGGCCGCCCCCAGCCACTGCAGCCTCGACCTGCTGGGCTCCAGCGATCCTTCTGCCTCGGCCTTCCGAGTAGCTGGAGCTACAGGCACGCGCTACCACGCCCGGCTAATTTTTTATTTATTGTAGAGATGAGGTCTCACCAAGTTACCCAGGCGGGTCTCGAACCCGCGGGCTCAGGCCATCCACTCACCTCGGCCTTCCAAAGTTCTGGGATTACAGGCTAAGCCACCAAGCCCGGCACACGCTTGTTACTATAATCATAATTAAGAGAGGCCAATTTCTCATCAGAGTTTGCCTGCAGTGAAGTGCTCCTGTCAACTTTGTGTTCCTTCCTGTCCTATCCAATATCAAATCTCATCTTCACAAATGTGTCACCTGCCTTCTAACGGTCAATCACCTTGATTACCTTACTTTCCCTGAAACACGGGACAAATATCTGTGTGCTTAGCATAGTGGTCTTAACTTGAGATTTATCTGGAGAGATTTTCAAACTCTTGATGTCTTGGCCACACTCCAGCTGATCAAACCCACATCACTAGGGGTGAGACCCAGTCCTCTGAATTTTTTAAAACTCCCCCAGACGACTCCAGTGGGCAGCCAAGGTTGAGAACCAGGGTTTAGAGGAAAAGTTATTATGGTGGGCAGAAGCAAAACACCCAAATGAAGTTTGTGACATTACTGTCTCATATCTGTTTTCAGGTATTTCGGCATGGAGACCGAAGTCCCATTGAAACCTTTCCCAATGATCCCGTTAAGGAATCCTCGTGGCCACAAGGGTTTGGCCAACTCACCCAGGTTAGTTGGATTTTCAGCCAAGGGTTGCTGATGAGTCTCAAGGGGAAATGTGTATAGAATTGTCTGTTTGGATATTTTGAGCCCTGTTGACTTTGTTTAAGCATAAGGGATATACACGGACAACAGAAGAATGCACAAGCTTAGAAACACTGAAGAGAGGTAAGAGGGACTTACAGCCAGCCCCTGAGCTTCTGAGGCTCTGATGAGGAAGGAAAAAAACAGGCATGTCATCAACAAGTTGAGTCAACAGCGCTGAGGAAATATGATTCCTCTGAAAGCACGGATGTCAAAATTTGATTTCTTAGTTGCCGGATATATTAGGATCGAGCCTTCTTTATAAGTGGTCAGTTAAACACCAGGAGACCCACTTCCTAAAGAGCATCTTAGGAGAAGGTTAGCTGGGAAACAAGGACATCTTTAATCACTGTGCCAGGGCCCCTCCCCCTTTTCTTGTAAGACTGAATGACTCGTCTGCTGGGAGCCAGGAGGCCAGAGCATTGCTTCCGTCCTGACCTGTTTAAATACGTTAAGAAACTGTGACACAATGTCTATTGTTGAATGTTTCCAAAACGACTGGGTCTTAATCTCGACCAAACATTAAAATTATCTAGAAAGGCTTAAAAATATAGATGTCTGCCTGGGAGTTTCTTATTTAATTGGTCAAAGGATGCAGCCTGGGCATGGGGATTTTTTTGAAGCTCCTAGGCTGACCATTCTAAGGTACAGCCAAGGCTGAGGATCACCACCTGTTTTTCACAGAGGAGAAAACTCAAGGAGGCTGTTTGAGGCCAGCATCTTCTGGTTCTCAGTTCGGAGCTCTCCCTGCCATAGTCTACCCCATCTTCTGGCTCTCTGAATGAGACAAGGGTTACAAAAATTCAGGTTTGCTTCTTAATACCGATGGCTCTGTGGACACTACTGTTCCCTTGCTGCGCTGTTCCAGTAAGACCAAAAGATTCTTCTGGACTGTGGGATCTGGGTTCCTCCAGAAGTCCCTTGACTGGCAACCAGATTCCACCAGGGCAGTGTTTCTCGAGCTTCTGTGTGCAAACTCTAATTCAGCAGGTCTGATGTGAGCCCTGAGGTTCTACACGGCCAACACACTCGCAGGAGATGCCAGGGGTACTTAGGACACGGACCCATCTGAAGTCACAGGGTCCAGGAGCCCCATTCCTAAAGACCAGAAGCCCCACCAAATTCCTGCCCTCGGCCAGGCATCTCCATCCGAGGCGATGGCCGGACGAGAACTCCCTGGATCAGCAGTTCTCTAGGCGCGGTCCTGGGACCAGCGATCACCATCCCACCCAGTGACCAGAAATTCTGGTTTTGTTTTTGTTTTTTGCTTTCCCCAACTTTTCCTCTTTTAATGCACAGATGACAGACTGGTAAAAATGTGTTTCCAAATGGAGAAAAGACCAAGCCAGGATGACTTCCTTCAGGGAGGGGATGTGAGGGCTGCCCACAAATGTCTCCAGGGCGCCATGGCCACTTCCTCCTCTTGCGTCTGGATTTCGGTTTGAGGTTCGCTCCTCGCAGCTGGGGGACCGAGCCCCGCTGCTTCCGCTCTTCAAAGGAAGGGCCAGCTTGGGGCCATTCCAGGGCCTGCTTGCTCGTGCTGGCGAGTTCCTCATCAAACATGGACTTCCTCCCCTGCTTCTCCTTGGCGGGGCCCCTCGCCGGCTCCTCCCCGGGCGCTGCGCTGACGCCTGGCCCTTCGGGTCCTCCGGGCCAGCCACTCAGCCGGCGTCTGGGCCTCGAGGATTGCCTCGGCTGTCCTCTGTCCTGCCCTCCTAGCGTCATGCGTCAGAAGCCTCTTCCTTTGCTCCTTTCCCCTTAAGGCCAAGCCAAAGTCCTGCAGAGCCTGGGCGCCTGTCCCCTTCTTCCTCTCTCCTCTGGTCTGGAACCGACTCCTCTCCAGCTCTGGCCTGCGGCCTCCTTTCCCTGCCCCAGGGGCCACTTGGCGGGGCTCATCTGGGCCTCTGACTACTGCATCTTTCTCCTCCGCCTCCGGCCGCAGCACCGCATACACATCTTTCTCCACGTTTCAGTCTCGTCTCGGAATTTGAGAATGACGCCTGGGCCTCCACTGGGGCCGCGGCAGCTCTCGCAGTCCCGTCTGCATCTTTCGCCCCTCCCCTCCCACCAGAGAGACGGAGCCCCTGGCCCGGCTGGCACGTGCCGTCTGCCCCACCTGGTGGACGCAGTGTTGGACAATGTTGGGCAGTGTGAAATTGACCGTCTCGACTGGCTCAGTATCGAGTCCACGGCTGCCACATCCACAGCCATGAGGATGTCAGCCTGCGCGTCCTTAAAGCGCCGGAGGGCCTCCAGCTGCTGCATCTGCGACCGGTGACCAGAGCTCGCCCACCTGCAGCCCAGGAGTCCCAGGAGGACATGCATGTGGTGTGCCTGCTTCTCAGCCTCCGTGAGCAGCATCGCGTGGTCGGTCAAGGTTCCCGCCCGCGGCCTGCCACGATGGCTCCGCGGTCTCCTTCCCGGCTGGGCCAGGCATGGATGAACTCCTGCCGAGGAAGGGCGCCGTGCCGGTGCTGCCGCTCACGAATGAGACGGACGCCAGATCTGTCACCTGGTCCGTCATGGTGGCCGAGAGGAGCACGGCCTGCGGTGGTGGAAACACATCCGGGTGATCTCCTGCATCTGCTCCCCAAAGTCCTCGCCCGGTGTCCTGCCGGCCTCGTCCAGGATGAGCACCTCGGCGCTGCTCGGAGGAAGGCAGGGCCGTTGTGGAGGTGAGCGGCCAGCCAGCCCGGGTGGCGATGAGCACGCTGGGCTGCCGGAGAGCTGCCTTCTGAGACTGCGGGTCCAGGCCGCCCACAGCCAGGCAGGTGGCGCTGCTGCAGAACCGGGCCAGCACCTGGGGACCGAGGGCACCCGGATGCCAGCTCTGGGGGCGACCAGCGACAGCACATGGGTCACCGGGTCTTGGCGGGCCTTGTGGCTCCGACGCTCCAAGACCGCAGGGCCGAAGCTGCAGGGTTGCCTGTCCCCGTGGCTGCCCAGGCACAGGTGTCCTTCCCAGCAGACCCGCAGGGTGCAAGCCTCCCGGGTGGGGGCCGGCCACTGGAAGCCCACGGCTGTGACGGCCTTCGGAGGAGGGCGGGAGAAGTTCACATCCTGGAACGACAAGCTTCCGGCGCCCTGAGAGACACCTCGACAAGCCGTCCTGCTTCCTGGCCTTTCTTCGTCTTCTTGGATCCGTCACTTGGAGTGTGTCTGCTGGGGAGGCTGTTCTCCTCTGCCGATGAGGCGTCGGTCTCCGCTCTTCGTGCCCCGAGCCTCCCCTCTCTTTCTTTTTTTTTTTTGAGTTGGGGTCTCACTCTGTCACACAGGCAGGAGTGCAGTGGCACGCTCCCGGACACTGCAGCCTCGAACTACTGGGCTCCAGCAATCCTTCCGCCTCAGCCTTCCACGAAGCTGGAACTACAGGCGCGCGCCACCACGCCCGGCTAATTTTTGATTGATTGTAGAGATGAGGTCTCGCCAAGTTGCCCAGGCAGGGCTCAAACCCGCGGGCTCAGGCCATCCCCTCACCTCGGCCTCCCAAGGCGCGGGATGACAGGCTGCGCCACCGAGCCCGGCTCTCTCTTTCTCTTGAAGGCCCTCCTGCTCCTCCGCTCCAGGCCCCCCTCGGCTTCCTCCGCCTGCTCCAGTGTCTCAGACGCGGCTTCTTCGTCCTCCGTTTCCCTTTTCTTTCAACCTTCTCCATCTTCCCGTCGCACGCAGCGGCTGCCCTCTCCTCCTTGAGCTGGCTCGCAACATCAGCCAGAGCCCAGCTGCCATCCTTCCTCCCCTCCTTCTCAGCGGAGGCAAGTCGGGGTTGAAATCGGCCCTGCGGTTGCTCTAAGGCTTTCCGCCTCCTTCCCAGCAAGACGGGCCCCTCCCCCTCCCCGAGTCTCCGGAGTCAGACTCCGGCTCACAGGAGCCTCGGCCTCTTCGCCGACGGTCCCGGTGAGACTGAAGGTCCCGGTGAGACTGAGATCAGCGAGCCTGCTGCCGCAGCCAGAAATCTGTTTGAAAGAGTTTTACAGCCAGGTGCGGTGGCTCAAGCCTGTCATCCCAACACTTTGGGAGGCCGAGGTGAGAGGATTGCCTGAGTCCACAGGTTCGAGATCAGCCTGGGAACTTGGCAAGACCTCGCCTCTCCAATACATCAAAAAAATTAACCCGGGCTTGGTGGCTCAGCCTGTAATCCCGTGCCTTGGGAGGCTGAGGTGAGTGGATTGTCTGAGCTCACAGGTTCGAGACCCGCCTGGGCAACTTGGTGAGACCTCATCTCTACAATAAATCAAAAAATTAGCTGGGTGTGGTAGCACGCATCTGTAGTTACAGCTACTTGGAAGGCTGAGGCGGAAGGATCGCCGGATCCCAGCAGGTCGAGGCTGTGATGGCCGGGAGCAGCCACTGCACTCCAGACTGGGTGGACAGAGTGAGACTCCAACTCAAAAAAAAAAAAAAAAAAAGAAAGAAGCAGTTGCAATAGTTCCTTTGGGAAGTTTGTCAGGCCCTCAGGGGAAGGATGCAAATATATCTCTGATTTAAATGGTAATGATCTCTCCTCCCACTGCACTGTAAAAATTTGGAGATACAAGAAAATTGACTTTGAGCATCCCTTTCTATACTAAATAACTAGAAAAGCTTGGTAGATAGAAATACTCAAGGAAATTTGAAATAATTTTATGAATATTATTTTGGGTTATATTTAACATAAAAACTGTAGTTTTATGTAGCTCATGCCTATAGTTCACCTGCCAGCAGTTGGTGGGAGGCTAAGGCAGGGAGGATTGCTTGAGCCCAGGAGTTTGAGAACAGCCTGGACAACATAATGAGACCCTGTCTCTAACAAAACTAAACAGAACTATAGTGCTATCTCTGCTACTAACTAGCTATGTGCTGTCAGACCGGTATTAACTTCTCTTGGCCTCACTTCTCTTATTTCTATAAAAACAAAAGCTGGATCAGAGAGAAAGATGCAGGCAGGAGGTGAATGTGGCAGTGGCACCTGTCGCAGAGGCCACTGAGTATCTGATATCCTACCTGGGAATACCTTTCCTATCAAATGTTTCTTTTCTGCGGTTAAAAACAACTAATTCCAGCCGGGCTCGGTGGCTCAGTCTGTAATCCCTGCACTTTGGGAGGCTGAGGTAAGTGGATTGCCTGAGACCACGGGTTCGAGACCCATCTGGGCAACTTGGTGAGATCTCATCTCTACAATAAATTTAAAAAAAAATTAGCCGAATGTGGTAGCA